TACTGGATCAGAACCACAACCACGTCCTGGTAAGCAGCCAGGGCAGATCCATCATATGTTGAAGCTGATCCTACTGTGAGGCCTCCACCATGGATCCAGACCATGACCTGGAAAAAAATAATCAAAGATATTTTGGATTCTTCATTCTTATTTTTCCTTCAAATCAATTTTTGTGCCTGCTAAGCACACTGCATGAGTCTCAATTAATAAGTATTAAATTAATGTTTAAGATAAACAAAAAATATTTGGGTATAAAGGCAAACCCATTGCAACTGGCTCTAAAAGGGGGTGTTTTTTTGTCATATGAAAATCCTTAAAAGGAAACCAACTGTCACTGAAAATTTCTTCAGCAATGACCAGCAAGGCTCAAAACCTACAGCAAAAGGTTCTTACTGGGAGCTGGGCATCATCAGCTCTGTTAGCAGGAGTGTAAATGTTGAGGTAAAGGCAGTCTTCAGAGATGTCTGGGATATCAGCCAACAAGAAACCAAGTTTATCAAGCAGTGCCAAAGCAAATCGTTCAGGTTGTATGCACCTGAAAAATAAAAACATTTAATAAATGCTGGATGTTTTTCAAACTGTGTTTTACAACAACTGAAGCACATGTTTCTTACATTGGTGGCTGTTTAGTGGCATATCTTACTCCTTCCCATCTTTCTGCAGGCTGAGGTGGAGCCAGTCTCAAGGAAGGGCCGAGGGGTGGTTTAGCAAATGGGACACCCAGGTAGGCATGGACGCCAGTCTCCTTCCCTTTCACACTCACATACTCACCTTTCAGGCTCCCGAGCTTTGTGTGGACTACAGGCGCTGTCAGGATATTAGAAATCAGTGAGAATCATAACATAAAGCTTCATGATTTATGAAATCTAATATTTCAGATTTCAAAAATACTTATAGTTGCAAAAAGCAGGGGGGAAAAAGAACTACTTATTTATTTGTAGCTTCCATCAAATTACAGTCACCCAGCTATGTGAAGATCAGTAATGAAATACTAGAGCCAGTTAATATAAACCATGTGTGTCCTTGATCCAGCTGGAGGTGCACGGTCCAGAGATAAACACAAGGGCACAGATGTCATTGTTCATAGAAGCGTTTCACCTTAACTTACCTCTCAGCTGTGTAGCAACACAGAGAAATAAAACGGACATTGAAAACCAGAAATTCAGCTTTGCATTGGACTTCATTGTGGTCTTGATACACGTTACAACAATCGGCGACTTTGCAAAAACTAAGTGCCAGGAGAGGCAGTCCCTCCTCATGCAGATTCCTCCGCGTAACTTAAGACTTAATATAGCGTGCAGGGTGTCACGTGATTCCACCAATTTTAATCGACAGAAAAACAATCTCACTTCTTCCATTTAGGATGAGTTAAACGCGGAAATTGTTTTTACTATCTGGATAAATCTATGTTGTTTTTTTTTGCGAGGGTGATCACTTTTCATAAAGGTATTTATGAGGAAAAAAAAGGTCGACAGTATAGATCAGGGGTGGGCAATCTCAGTCCACGAGGGCCGGAGTCCCTGCAGGTTTTAGATCTCACCTTGGGTCAACACACCTGAATCACATGATCGTTACCAGGCCTCTGGAGAACTTCGGGACACGTTGAGGAGCTAATTTAGCCATTTAAATCAGCTGTGTTGGTTCGAGGACGCATCTAAAACCTGCAGGGACACCATGCCCACCCCTGGTATAGATGCAGTGGCGGTCCTAGCCTGCTTACCTGCATCTTTTGCTCGTTTCTCCTCCTCTTCTTTTTTCTTTTTTCTAAACTGGGGACTTGATGGCTTTGAACTTTTCTTGTCCATCTTCCATTGCTTTTAATTTTGAACTCCAGTATGAACACAAATCCCCCAACCCGACGATCACCACAACATAACCTAGTTCACAGATTCACTTTGTCTAAGGTGTATTTCTAGGATTTCGCACAACCCAGGATTCAAATCATGAATACATGATGGGCTTGGATTTACATCATTATGAATGAAATGTGCTCTATTTGGAAGCAGCCGCCCCCCTCCCCTTTCGACAGGTTGTGTGTGAGACTTTAAATCATCAAACTGTAAATTATAAATTTCAAATTGTTATTGATCCCTTTACCCCGAGTCCTAAAGTGTAGATTTATTTTCTTACTCTTCTTATATTTATTGTTTGTTTACTTGCACTGCTGTAACTGGAGCCTCGCCGTCTCGTCTCTCTATATACTGGACTGTATGTAGCGGAGATGACAATAAAGTTTACTTTGACTTCAGCAGCGAGCAGGCGCACCAAGGGCTCTCGTGCTCACTTTTCGCGTATAGAATTTCGAAAAAGCATCGATGCAAATTATAAGTCTGTATCTTATTATTGTTGGTTATTAGATGCTTCTCCAGCCAGCCCGTATCAAAAACCGCTACTGTATAGATGAAAAAACGCAAAAGCACGAATGTCAATGTTCAAAGAAGTGTTTCCTCTTACTCACCGTCCAGGTCTGCAGCAACACAGAGAAATAAAACGGGCATTAGAGAGCAAAAAGTCTGCCTGGCATGGCACGTCATGGTGGTGTTGGGGCAGATTACGACACACGATTGTGCAAAAAGTGAGAGAAAAGCCAAGAGAAGTAGGGCTTCCTCATATGACGCAGTCTCCTTGTAAGCGCATGTACTGTATCCTGCGGGGTGTAACTGGATTGCACTGATTTTAAGGCACAGCAAAAAGTGATCAAAGTACAGCAAACTGTCTGTCCCACTGCTGTCAAGTCAGTCAGTGTCGTTGCCTGTAGGTTACGCAGACGGCTGCGTGTTGAGGGAAGCAGTATCCAAAAGCAGACGCGTGGAGGCGGATTGAGCTGTATCAATACCAATACTTTTAACCAATAAAGTGAGGTTATGTAGACGAGAGCAGCGAATCATTATCCGTTTGCCAAATTTTGAAACCAGTTTAATGACCATTAAATCACTGTGATTTTTACTTTTCGCAGTAAAACACATCTTTCAGTTTTTCACGTACGGTAAATACATTGTAATGTAAATGTGCCGGTCTTTAAAACACTTTGGGTCAACCTCTGCTGTTTAAATGTGCTATAACATATATAAAATATGTACAGAAAAGACATGACAGCCAACACAAAAATATTCAGACATTTTTCATAGTGCACGTTTGAGGTATATATTTTAAATTAGTACCAATACCAACCAAAAAAATTAACATATTTTAAAAGATGGAATGCTAAGTTATCAGGTAACACCAGAAATACGCATACAATCCCCATAGCTAAACAACTGCTCAGATTTCTCAAATGGACTACTGAAATATATTTCATGCCAGACAATTTTATCAAAAATACACATAAAATACAAACACTGTTAGTAGAGGTAATGCCTAACAGGCGACCTGCCAGCATCACCATTCACCAATCATAGTGCTTAATGTTAATCACTAGCACAATCACTGTGCTGTGTAAAAGAAACATCCACTCCTATATAGGTAATATGAGTGGGATAGGTGTAAAGATGAAAAGCAGTTTTGCATCAGCCATGAAAACATGTAAGCTAATCACAACACCTAAAGTTTTATCAAGGCATGAAGTTAAGATGAGTACTGCAGTAGAATAATATACCTAAACAGGGTATATAATCCAGATTTCATCAAGGGGCACAAAATTTATAGAGTGCATGGTGGCCTACAATTACAATGCAGCTTTACTGATAGGAGGCTCTTTTTGGCTGGTGTCACAAAGGGTCACCACAGCGGTTAACTTAAATACCTCTTATGAGAAAAAAATAAAAACTGAAAAGAACCAGGATGTCACATCTGTTTATTTTAACAAGGTTTTTTTTTTTATGTTATGACAGCTGCTCTCAACTAGCAACCTTTTATCTACTATTTTCTTTCACTTCCACAATTACACTTTGATTATAGTTAAGTAAAAACAGTTGCATTCGTTTATCGATGATCAATGTCTTAAACTATACAAAAACTGCTCTTGTCATTATAAAGGATTATTTGACATACCCTATGTTTACTATGTGTAAAGAATGGTCGCTAAATGAATTATGATTTATTCTAATTATTTTAAAAATTGATGGAGCAGAGACCAGATGTGAGTTTTCTACAGCTCGCTGCGTTCTGCATTTTCCTCATGCTGTTTGATCTTCTCTGGGACGGTCTGAGTCAGGAAGACAAAGCGCTCCTTCTTCAGGTGCTGAG